ATCAGTTATTGTTATCTTTAATTTCATTTATTTTTCTTATTTCATTTGTTGTATTCCAGTTATTATCATTTCCTTTCTTTTATTTCTTTTATCTTCTGAATTAATTGCTATTTTTTTCATTATCGGTCCTTTTATTTGATTATTTTATCATTATAGGTTTCCTATTTTCTGTAATAAAATATTAATTAAACATACATTTTAACATAATTTCTGTTAGCCAATTTATATTTAAATAATTATTCAATATACTTTTATATTTATTGTCAAATACAAGTGTTCGTTTATATTAAAGAAACAAATATTTATTATTTCATTATTAAGGTATTAGGGGTAAAGCTCTGAATGGTTCAGATTAATCTGAAAATTTTCAGTTCAGATCAGTTTCAGATTGCAAAAAATTCAATCTGAAAATTTTCGGTTCAGTTCAGATTTTTTTTGAATTATAAATCTAATCTAAACTGAAAAATATCTGAATCAAACCGAAAATTTCGAATTAATCTAAAATTTTGGATCATTTGGAATGATTAAATTTATCATTCTTTTGAAACAATTGAAGTTATCATTCCAAAGGAACGATAAGAAAATTATTTGATTAAAACGATTAAATTATCGTTCTAAAAGAATAATAAAAGAATCGTTCATTTGGAATGATTGAAGTTATCATTCTAAACAAATGATAAAAGAATCGTTTGATTAAAACGATTAAATTATCATTCCAAAAGAATGATAAAAGAATCATTCAATTGAAACGATTAAATTATCATTTTAAACAAATGATAAAAGAATCATTCATTTAGAATGATTGAAGTTATCATTTTAAATGAATGATAAGAAAATCGTTTGATTGGAATGATAAAATTATCATTCCAAATGAATAATAAAAGAATTGTTCAATTGGAATGATGAAATTATCATTCTAAATAAATGATAAAAGAATCATTTGATTGGAATGATGAAATTATCGTTCTTAATGAATAATAAAAGAATCGTTCAATTAGAATGATAAAATTATCATTCCTAATGAACGATAAAAGAATCATTCATTTGGAACGATTGAAGTTATTATTCCAAACAAATGATAAGAAAATTGTTCGATTAGAATGATGAAATTATCATTTCAAACGAAACATAGAAGAATCATTTGATTAGAATGATGAAATTATCATTCCAAATGAACGATAGAAGAATCGTTTGATTAGAATGATGAAATTATCATTTCAAATGAATGATAGAAGAATTGTTTGATTAGAACAATGAAATTATCATTCTAAACAAATGATAAAAAATCATTCAATTGGAATGATGAAATTATCGTTCCAAACGAACGATAAAAGAATTGTTCGATTGGAATGATGAAATTATCGTTCCAAACAAATGATAAAAAAATTGTTCAATTGGAATGATGAAATTATTATTCTAAACGAATGATAAAAGAATCGTTCATTTAGAATGATTGAAGTTATCATTCCAAAAGAACGATAAGAAAATCGTTCAATTGGAATGATTAAATTATCATTTCAAAAGAACGATAAAAGAATTGTTCATTTAGAACAATTGAAGTTATCATTCTAAATAAATGATAAGAAAATCATTCGATTAAAACAATTAAATTATTATTTCAAAAAAAATGATAAAAGGATCATTTGATTAGAATGATGAAATTATCATTCTAAACGATCCAAAATTTCAGATTAATCTGAAATTTTCAATTCAATTCAGATTTTTACCAGTTTACAGTTCGGTTTCAGATTGGCCTATAATTCAGACTGAACCAAACTGTTCAGAGCATTAATTAGGGTAAAAGATCTACATTTTACATGGAATTTTTTTAAAAGTATGATAGTTTTGCTAAATCTTTATTATGATAAATGTAAACTATTTATATATTTATAAATAGACTAAAAATAAAAATAAAATACAAATCATAAGAAAAAACAAAAATTTCATTTAAAAATAAATTTTTAAAGAAAACTGATCTTACACTCCCTAAAATCAAATCTAACCTAAGCTAAATATATCACTTTTTGAAAAAAAAATGAACAAAAGAAGAAAGGGTATGATTACTACTGCATCAATAATTTGACCAATATAATCCTAGTTATATTATAATAATGATAGCATCTGATCTAAATGTATTAAAAATAAAGTAAGAGAAAAGATTGTAACTAGATATTACAAAGTTATTCTATTTGTCTTTGATAGAAATATTTGCAAAATTTTCTAGAATTTTTTGTATGATATATCTATTTATTCAAATTCATTGAGTTTATTTATAAATAGAGTTCCAGATGAGTTAAGTTAACTCTCAAGTCAGATAAGTCAAGTCAAGTTTAAATCAAATTGAGTTTATATTTTTTTGACTTGATAATTTGCGAGTCATGCCAAATTTTAGTCAAATTAAATATTTAACTTGACTTTATTTAAACTCAAATTGAACTCAACTTGACTTGAGTTAGTCTTACTTTTTAAGAATGAATAAACCAGTTTGTCTTAAATCATCGATTTATTGATCAATTTCTTCTTTTCTTCTTTTTTTTCCTTTTGATCAATTCTTTTTTTATATTCGATTAATATTTTAATTTTTAAGGTATTATCTCTATAAAAAATATTATTATTTTTTTTAGATTTAAGAATTAAATATGCTAATTTTATTATGATTTTATCTTAAATAATTTAATACATTAAGAATAATGCAAAGAAGTTAGGATGTATCAAATAAAAAAAAGGAAAATAAATAAGAATAATACAACATTTTATCAAACAAGTATGTATGTAATTACTTCCTTCAATTTATTTACATTTATTAAATAATAAAATAAATCTTTTAATTATCTTACGTACTATTTGAGAATATTTCTTAACTTTATGTATTTAATCCTTGCATTACTAAAGTATTATAAAATTTTGTAGTATGAATATCTATATAAATATGTGAAGTAATTTTTAATCTTCATTATAAATATTCACAAATTCTTTAAATTCTTTTACTAAACTTAAATACTATACAAATACTTTTCGACTTTTCTTATCTCTTTATTATTAATCTTAGTTTTAAAATATCTTAAAGCAATTAAATAAAAACTATATCATTTATAATAATTTGATCTTAGGCTGTAAAAGGAGGTTCTGTATCATTGATTATATCAAGAATTTCTAAGACACATGTGAAGTCTGAAACTGAGCATGATGTTAAGCCAACATTATCCAAATTGTTCAAGAGAATAAGAGTTAATTTGAGCTTATCAGATATTTGGAGAAACTCTCCAATAGATGTTTCAGATATTTGGAGAAACTTTCCAATAGATGTTGATGGTAATTTTTTTATTCTTTGTCTTATTGAAATTATTATTAAGGAATCAAAATAGGTGATGGAGATGAAACAACAAAATAATTGAAGAAGATTATAAAACAAAATACAGAA